CAAAAAAAAAAAAAAAAAAAAAAAAAGAGAAAGAAAGAAAGAAAGATTGAAAGAAAATACATGGTATCAAAATGTTGGATCAAAATGTTGGAGTAACCACCACACAGAGATTCTTTCTAAAACCTCCCTTCTGGAATGCTGTTAAATAAAGACTGCTCTCTCCCTTCAAGATAATCCACCTCCAAGCAATACATTTTCATACCTTGAGAAAGTATAGGAGGCAGGAATCTTACAGCTCGGTAGAACATTCTCCTTTTCCCACTACTATCTCCACCCAGAATTATCTCTTATAAGTGATCATTACTGAGCCACCTGGATGTACTCAGGACTTAACTAGGTGTTGTAGGGTTTTCAAGAAGAAAAAACAAGTTCTGTGCTTCAAAGAGCTTATCATCTTGTGGGAGAGATGGCTTGTATGCTTTCAAGGTAACATACAGTCACACACTAGAAAAGTTTTGATTGTATCTACAGGTGCTGAGGGAGATGCAAAGTAAGGAAAGACCATGATGAGTTGGGGTTAGCAAGACTGGAATTTCTGGGCCAGGTGAATTCTGAATTTTGAATTCCCACCCATCACCTTTTGAAAGAGCTTTCCACTATTCACAGGAACTTACTTACCCTGGAGAAAGCCATTTAGACTAATCACATAATGCTGCCAAGTGTCAGGTTCAGAAACGTTGAAGTTGAAGTTAAGGCTATGGGCGAAGGGTCTGATCATAACTCCTGGCAATGAAAACAGGTCTTGGATATATTAACCCATTCTTGGGATAATTTTTTTTTGTATTGATTCCCATGAAACCATTTCCCCCCAGGCAATCAAAATGAAAAGAACCATAATTTGCCAAGTACCATTTTACTTTTACTCTTAATAATTGAATCTCTAAGTCATTACCAGGAAGAGCCAAAGTTAATTGAGGCTGAACATGCTGTGCAAGCAGATTTCTGTCCAGCAAGTTCTGACAACACAGGGTATTTGAGCACACTCACCAGGAGGCTTCATCCGCTCTGTGAAGGTTGGCATGTAAGGACTGATGGTCAGAAATAGTGTGTACATGCAGAGGGTGATCACAGCAGCCAGAGAGGCGTAGAAGAAGAAGTAAATGACTAAGATCAGGCCTGCAGAACAAAGATGAGAGTGGTCAGTGTTTGCCAACAAGCCCTGCCTCCCCACTTGAACTCATGCACCAGAACCAACTCAAACATGAGATGAGTTTGTAAAAAATTCCCTAGATTCAGTAGTTCCTTGCTTATTCAGATTTCACCAATTTGGAACAGGTGTCTGACTGCAGTTTACTTTTACAGAATCTCCAATGGAGGAACTTGCTGAGCAAATGATGACCATGAACAAGATTATAGGCGAGTGGAGTTTAAAGTACTGCAGAGGACAAATTGCTTGAGAGTCCTCTGGGCAATGGTTGATGTCCTAAGTACAAATCATTCTTCGCTATTCATTAAAGTGGGTGCCCTGAAGAGTTCTAGCAACTTGGTTCCAGTGATTATATTTATTTGCAAGTGATAAAACAGTATTTCTTTTCACATAGTCTATAATTCAAACTTTTGATTAATTTCCACTGGACTTGCCTCTAATCAAGGCAAAGTGAGATTTTTGCCCTACTTATTTCAAATATTATTTATCTTTAGCAAAAGTTTAAGTGGCTCTGCTTTTCAAAAAGAACACTAACACAGGGTGGGGAAGGGAGGTACTTAATCACTGACACTTGCTGTCCATGAACTTGGGCAAGTTACAGAACTTCTTTGCACCCCTGATACTGAGGCAGGGTAGCTAGTACAGGTTAGGCATAGATAGATACGTTTCTTGTAGGCAGGTTTTAGGAAGGGTTAACTTTGCTGGTCACTCTGAGAATCATTTCAGGGTTGAGTCAAAAAACCCATGAGTTTGTAGCATACTACACCAAGCATCAATTTCTTACAAGTAAAATAGGAATAAGTTTAGCATATACCTCATATTTTTATCTATATACCTAACAATATCTGAAAGTCAGTCTTTCTTTACATCCTGTCCTGTCTATACCACTTCCTAGCGTTTAATCTTGGACATGCTGTTCACCTCTCTTGGCCTCAATTTCCTCATCTGTAAAATAAGGACAATAGTGGTACATACTTCTTAGCATTGAACAATGCATATAAACAGGATAGCACAGAGCCTGGAAGACACTAAGTACTCTGTAAATGGCAATCATCACCATTGTTGTTATTATTATTACTATAGAATCAGAAATATAGTTGTATGGATTTTCCCTCTGTTTGCCTCAGGATTAGGTAGCACAGTGTGAGGTGAATGAACATGAGACTGGTACTGAGAAACTCTTTTCAAGCCTTCCTTGGGGATCTCTCAGGCAACAATATTTGGCTCTGTTCATAGCAGTGACATGATATCAGAACTACAGATTTGTACTGAATCATGAAGCAGAAACCAGAGCAAACTACTTAACTTTGCTGTACTCCAAACTGAATCCAAATAGTAATTTTTAAATTGAACCATGAACCAAATAAAATTAACCAAAAAAAGGAGTGACCCATTATGTCTTATTAGATAAACTAAAGCATAACTGGAACATGAATACATTGATTCATTTGGAGTCCCTGGAGAAGAAACAACAGTGCTTGTGTGCCTGTGAGACTTAGCTAGCTATTGCCCACTGGCTGTCCTAATGGGATTTCCTCTGTGCTTCCACCTCCACTCCTCCACCCTATACCCATCCTGGGAATGGGTCAACAGCTGGAGCCATATAGGGGACCAAAAGACTCAGTTTCATGGATGTGGGAAAAGCAATGAAACACAGGTACATTTCTTTGGAGATATCTTCCTTCCCAGGATGTGTAGCCATGAAATAATAGATGGGAGAATGGCACTAACAGTAAGTTCCCTCAGCCTCACTCAGGAGCTGGCGCCCCAGAGACTATGATGAACTAACCATCTCAGCTACATCCAGGCAAAATCAAGCATAGTCCCCATCTGAAACCATTGATACCTCCAACCCTTTCTGCCCCAGATGTCCAAGTATTACTTGGGCCCTCCTCTAGGTAATCCTGGGTTCTCTCCTGAATGCCCCCACCCAGGCTAGGATGGACTACTAAGTACCCGTGCTCCCAGCTCTTCATTCCACCCACTAAAACATTCTATCAGGTCCTAAGGTCCTACCCATCAAAGCCTAGTTCATTGTTAGAGTTCACGAAGATGGTGTGGTATTCTGACAAGAGAATAAAGTCTGGTATTCATCCAACCTGGGTTTGAATCCCAGCACTGCCACTTCATAACTGTGTGACATTAGACAAGTTACTTACCCTCTCTAAGCCTCAGATTCTGCATCTGTAAAATGGGGATAATAATATTACTACCTCATACGGTTCTTGTCAGTATCCAATAAAATAACATATAGTTCCTAAGAATAGGGGTTGCCCAGCTATCAAAGGAAAAGCCCACATTATACTAACAGGCTAGGTAAATATATCGGGTATGTTGATGTTCAGGTTGGAACAGGGTTAGTAAGTGCTCAAGTGGGCACCTAATTCTCGGGAAAGAAGGCAGCAAGGCACGTACTTTATGGCCAAGGCATTAACATTACCATTTGCCCTTTGCCTGAAATAGCCCAGCGGAATTCCTAGGCTCCTTTAGACCTGAAATTTAGAGTTCTGGCTATGGCCTACCATGCAGTGTCCCCATTGCCATATCTTCCCTGGGCACTTTAACCTTCCTCCCTCATCCCCAATTACTGGTCTGTGGATTAACCTCCACAGGAGCAATGTGGATCAACCTCCACAGAAGCAATGTGGATCAGCTCATTTTGTGAAGTTTCAATGTCTGGCTGTTTAAGGGTTAATATATGGTTCCCCTTCCCAGAATTACACTTGCATTACACAAGGCTTGTTTTTCCAGTCCTCTTTAAGCAAAGGAGAAACAGCTGTGCCCCCTTGGAGCCCCAGTGAGTGTCCAGCATTTGTCTGCTGCTTCCAGAATGTTGGAATGTCCCTTAAATGGTACATTTGTTCCAGTTGGGAGTTCAGGGGATGGTCAGGGGTGGGGCTGGGAAATGAGAATGGGTAAAGGGAGTAAAGGGTGTTGTTCAGAGCCCCACACCTGCTATCCCTAATTCCAGGAAACAGAGTTGGCTGTTTCACCCTGACTGAGCTGAATTAGCAACATTAACTATGAAGAAGAGAATTCTCAGCTAAAGCAACCTGTAAAAGGCATGGCCATCAACTTCGGCAACTTAGACCCTTGGCACTAGGGGCTTCTTATTTCAACTATGGCGTCCTCTTTTTTTTTTTTTTTTCCTCCTGTGAATTAACTGAGTCCCAAACAAGCAGCTGCTCTTTTTCTGGGCTCTACAGAGAGTATGGCAAGTGTGAATTTTACAAGGGGCTAAATCTCCTGAGAAAGATCAGCATTAATAGTTTAAGAAGTGAGTGGGACTCTGGGAGGGGAGTGCTGGGGAAGTTGTGAAGTAAAAATGGTGGCAGCAGGCGGGGGGAGGAGGAGCATACTTCATCAACAAGGGTACCTGCATAATGAACATTTGTATACCTAACCCTGAATTGTATCCCACATCTTTAAAATAAAACTTTTAAAAAATGGTGGTAGCTTGTGGTACAAAAAGGAAATGCTAAGGAATACAATCCTGCCCTTGATCAAAGCTCAGCCTCAATCTCTAGTAATGATCTGCTTAAACCCAATTCCTAGGTGTCTACCACGGGAGAGAAAAACACCCACAAACTGGGGCCAGAAACAGGCCTCCTGGCTCTTCTTCTCTGATGTTACTAAATGAAGTGATGAGGCTTTATAAGAACCTTGGTCAGGTTAGCAGGAACTTGGGTCTCATATCCTACAAATAATCTTCTGCATAATTCCTTCAACTTTACATTTTTAACATCTAATTGGTGCTTCACTCTGATTCTGTGAGAGAGACAAGGCAGGGATTGTTTCCTTCATTTGGTAGATGAGGAAACTGAGGCTAGAGAAAGTAAATGGCAAGTACAAGGTCACGTGGATAGAAAGTGACAGGTCTGAGACTTTAAAAAATCTTGTGCTTTTCCAACTCATTCTCACTGTCTTTCTGCATTGCAACTGATATTAAACCCAGTGAATTTCGTTACACAATCATGTTTGTTCATCCATTTATAGTTCATTCTGATGGAATCTATCCATTCTCCAGGCATTTTCCTAGTTATGAAGTGCTAAGAGAAGTTTGTAGACAAGCCCATCGAGCATATGGTAAAGGAGCCCTGGACACCGCACCAAAAGCAAAGGACACCAGACTTGGGCATTGAGACTGTTGGGACTTACTCCAACTCTGACCTGTTCGGGCCAGAAACATCCTTCTCTCCGGATCCCAAAGGTATTCGCTCATGATCTTCAGTTTCCACCACCAAGCATTCCCTGCTGGCTGATCCTGACTCTCTTCTTCCTCTTTTTTCTCCTCTTTCTCCTCTTCTTTCTCCTCCTCGTCTTCCTCCACCAAATTGGGCACCACCATCACCTGAGCTTCTTCTTCTGCTTCCTCCTCTTCATCTGCTAAGTAGTTCTGGTTCACTTCATCCTGATCATCCTGGAACAGTGACAAAGCACAATCCCCTTTTTGAAAAAAATTTCCAATGTTGCATCCCACCAGCCAAAAATAAATGGAAACGACTCAATATTTGGAGATGCTTCAAATCTCCACTTCACTATAAACATACACATTGTTACAAGAGGTGGATTTTTCTCTCTGTGTTCTTTTGGAGGAAATATCCTTCCTGTGACACATTTTGACTCAGTGTCGTTTCCATAGAGGTACAAGTTTCATTGTCAACTTCAGGCATGTGGGCTCTTCCCCTAAGACTGTTCATGTCACTACACTGTCCTAGGGCCTTGGTCTCCCCTCTTAACTTGGCCTGTCAGGGCAGAACTGAGCTCACACAGGAGGATAGAGTAGCCTTAGATATTTGTGTCCATGATGGCAAATTCCCAGCCCAAGCCAGCCTCGTCCTAACACTCTGTACACTTTCAGCTGGTCAACTTCACACATCCTGACTTGTGTTTAAAAATAGCATGGGACAGACATCGGGAGGAGAGGCCAATTGTTGTACCCCTCCTCAAAACTAAGCCTGCCTTCCCAACAAAAACAAGAAATGGGAAGTTATTTGCTGCTTCTCTGACTATTGCCCTAGCTGGGACCTCCTCTTGTGAATCTGACTGGAGAGACTACCAGACCACCAGCTGGAGCCCCAGGCTTCCTTGGTCTCTCCCGTACCCTAGACAAAAAAAAAAAAAAAAAAAACTGGGTACATAGTAAGTGCTCAGCACATATTTGGTTATTGACTGATTGCAGTCATTACTTGAGATTTGAAACTGTAATCTTCTCTGAGTGGTTTTAAGAAAATGAGAGAGAGAGAGAGAGAGAGAGAGAGAGAAACCTAGACTTCACGAAGTGGTGTTTCAAATGCCTCCCAGCCACAGGCTGGAGAGTAGTATCTTTGCTCTTGGGAGTTTGCCAAGGCTCACTGCAGCAGCAGAAAATGAGGCCGCCCTCCCTTCCCTCTGCTGTCCAAGTCTGAAGAGCAGCAGAGCTTGTGCACCTGTTGGGGTTGGTTGTGTCAAATGCTAGAGACCAGGGGCTCCATGCTCCCCCCTCCTTGCCTGATTCTTCAAAGGCCACTTAAAGGGCACTCAGCTTAAAATGCTGCCTGTGCTGGGGGTTCAGCAAATCAGGTTGTTCATAACCAGTAGAAATGATGCAGAATGACAAGGCTCAACTCAGCCTTCAGTCTGCGCAGTAGTATCTAGCCTGTAATTATAAGCACTTTTGAATTGCCCTCCAATTTGTTCCAATGTACAGTTCTATGTCACACACCATCCCAGAACTGACAGGGACCTTAAAGATATGCTTGTCCATCTGAGACCTAGAGAAGGGACAGGATTTAGCAAGTTCATGACTCAGTTGACAGTCACAGAACCTGCATATCTTGATACCCTGGCCAATGTTTTTCCTCTAGGACACTGAACACATGCCTAAGGTAGCTTAGTAGATTTATGAAGCACAACAATGTATTAGTTTCTGAACTTCCAAAAGATTGAAGGTGCTTATAATCAAGGATTGCTGACTGACATGGACTCACAGTGTAAGGTTTAGGAAAATAAACTCAATGTTGAATGGATCAACATGTGTTCTTAAATTTCTTTCACTTATGTGTGACCCTATATACACATGTGACCTCCCAAACTAGACTTTGAGCACCCAGAGGGAGGAGCCATATTTTCTAACTTCTTGATGGCCCTCTATAGTGTAAAACCCATGGCTAAGTACCTAGTGGCTCCTGACCAAATAATAATACCTGCCTGACTTAACACTCCTAACACAGGACTCTTGGGGAATGCTCTAACAGAGCTGATCACCCTAACCTGGGCAGTCATGTGCACCAAAGTGGGTGGTCATCATGACCCCCAGAGAAACTACTGCACCTGAGAAACTTGGAAAATTTGAAATGTAACATTTCATCAAGGAGGAATTTATATTTCTTTTATATTTTCTGAACAACTTTCTTTTCTCTTCTTGTTTCCTATGCCTGCCTTCTACCTCTGCTCCACTGAGAAGACAGCTGGCCTTGGCCTCAGCCTGATCTTATTTGTATATATGAGCTCTCATGATAATCCCATTAAAGATGGCTTGTCATTAAAGCTTTACCCTCTCGGGAAGAATTAATCTTCTCAGAGCTAATTTTCCCTCACAGCTCTCACACCTGAGCCTTGCTTCAAGAACCTCAAATCTTCTTGCCTGCTTCCAGGTATAGGGGAACATTGCATTGTGCAAGACAGGCCTTCCCAAAAATTCCTCATTAATTAAATTCTATGTTAAATGCATTTTTGTGCAACTATTTAACAAAATTCAGTAGGAAATCCCTCGGTGATGAGAATGTTTATTCCCAAGGTTCTGTTTTTGTCAGTTTCCTAAAGTGGCACTACCCTCATGTGATAGTGTGAGTGTGCTGGGATACTGTAGTGGTTGCTTGATGGGCCATTGTATTTCCCTAAAAGGGAAGAGTCTGAAGGACAAAGGGTGGCTCCATTTTGAGCAATCTAAATATATAAACATATAAACAAATATATAAACAGTATGACCCAAAGGATAAATTTGTGCTCTGCATTGAGTAATAGCCTATAAACATTTGAGTGGATGGTTAATTTTAAAAGAAAAAAAATTAGTACACGATTAAATCAAATAATTTCTTTTTAAATTTGATCAAGTATTATAAAGAGCAAAATGCCCAGAGGCATTTAAAATCCAAGCCACTTGACAAATAACTGAAATGATACACAACATTTTACTAACATTACTTAGAAAAAAAAGGCAAGTAAGTAATAGTTATATGCCCCACAGATTGCAACTGTTCTGAGAGCTGGAAGGAACTTTGCGAAAGTCAAAAAAAAGAGAAAATTCTAGCAATTGTGGCTAGAAAGCTAAAGGAAACCCTCTGTAGGTGGATATGGAGGTTAGAAGATTTTGTGTTTTCTTCTGCTGGCTGTTGACAGTCTTCACTTAACTCCGTGGTTATATATGTGGCCATACTCAAAGAAAAATGGATTAGGCTTTGTTTCCTCCTGCAGCTCAGATCACAATCCTTTCTGAGGAAGATTTCAGAATCCTTCCCCCCCCAAGTACTGTATATCACATATATGAGTGATCTATAGCAAAGTAAATGCAAATAAACTTTTGGGTCAAATAATTTGTAATGTACCCTGGAGATAAATGGTGACACCAAAGGTGGGGGGGGTGGGGAGAGAGAGAGAGAAGAAGGGAGGGAGAGACAGAGAGAATATATGTTAGGCAGTGTGGGGTGGCTGGCAGGGTAGCAATGGGTGGTAGAAGATTAGGAGGTTAAAGAGTTGCATACTACAAATATGATGGCAAGAGCGCAAGATTTGAAGTGAGGAGACACCATTCTCATTTTGGCTTCTCCACTCACTTGTAAGTCACTTTTGTGTTCTGAGCCCCAGCAGCCTCCTTTGCATAATGAAGGGCTCTGGAGAGCTGGTGTCTAGGATTCCTCCCAGTTTCTATCAAGAATTCTAGATTTTAGCCATAGTTTGGAATTGCTACTTTATAGAAAAAGAGCAGCTGGATTCTCAGTAGCTATCACCCAAGGGGACAGAGACAGCTGGGTAGGCGGTGCCTTTCATTTCCTCTTCCTCTTTCCTTATCTCTTGGTTTAATTTCTTGCTGTCAGAAACCTCTTCTCCCAGACTCCAGAAGGTCTGTTCAAATTCTAGACTCCTAGGGAATAATTCTAAAAAGCCCCTTGTTCTCTGGTATCTTTGTTCCACAGGAGGAGAGGGCTTCTTTCTTTTATCCAGCAATTTAGGATCCCCTGGGGTACTAGGAGTCCCAGCTCCTTTTTGAAACCCTGGGCTTCCCTAAACTTTGCTGTTTCTACCCATCCTAAGGAGAGGAAACCACAAATCAAGACCTACACAGCCCCCAACTCACCCCATTTTTTAAAAGGGACAGTAAAATATTCTGCTCCCTGGCACTCACAAGTCTGTGGCGATAACCATAAGGAAAGGCCGGAGCCCTTCTCGACCGAAGTTGCCTTCTCATGGCTGTTCCCTGGGCAAAGACAGGCACAGGCAGGCAAGCGGGTGAGAGTTCTGGAGCTTTTGCTGGTACAAGAGGCACTGGTTGCTGGGGACACTTGGTGCTTGGTAAAAGTGAAGCCTCCTGGCTTGAGCCCTTCCCCAAAATAATCTTACATGCCCCTCTCTCATTGGTTGGCCCCTTCCCCGAATCAAGGGAAAGCCCTTATGGAAAAGCAAGCTCATCATTACAGGGAGGGGGAGATATTCTGGGTCACAAGGATGAGCGGTTCACCCCCGCCCCCAATGTGTCTTTCCACCCCTTGCCCTTCTCCAGCGCTCGAGATATGATGGGCCCAATGGAAATCTTAAGTCATGTTCTTTTCAGTTGAGAGTTGGCTATCAGTGTGTCCAGGGGGTGGGGCATGGGTGGGAGTTGAGGGTGAGGGGAGATGGCCAAGAATAACTTGCTTTTTTCATAAGGCTGATCTCATGCAAAAGGATCTAGTGTGTCAGGAAAGATTCCCTTTGCTCTCCACCCTGCTCTCCACCCCCGCCCCCACACACTCTAAGCCACCTACAATATTCCTTATTTGTGTCAATTCATGAGCTTCTTAAAATGTGGATTATATTTTCTGATTTCAGAGGTCAGGCTCCTACTTTACCCCTCCCCACTCCAAAGAGGGCCTTGGGCATAAGAAGCCTTTTTCTAGCCCACATGTCAGAGAGGCCTCATCAGTCACTGCCCCTCATATACACACCCCTTGGAATCCTGGCCAAATTTCTGTAGTGGTTAAGATCTATATTTATCCCTTAGCATCAGGGCAGGGAACAAGCCAGAACTTTGCAGTGTCAGTTTCCTAGACATATATAACTCCTGAAGCCAATGCGGGATCCAACAAAAGAAAAATTAGTAGAAACAGCCAAGAATATTGTGTAGCATTGTTGGGCTGCTTGGTCCACCCCACCAGAGCCTGGGTGGTTAAAAGGGCCTGAATGGAGTTTGTGATCCTTCTTTCACAAATCACCCTCATTACATTAAGATGACTGAGAATGTTACAGATACTGAGATTCTAGACATATTCATAACCAAGATAAACAGCACAATAGCTTAGATAGATTTAGTCATAACACCAGGTCAAGGCTATTCTGATTAAAATGGTTTCAATTGTGGTCAATTTAAAATAAGAACTCCCTTCACCAAAACAGTATTAATAAAGACCCTTCCTTAACAGTCTCTCTCCATATCCTTCTTAGAAAAAAAAAGGTCACATACAATAAAGGGAAACTAATATTTTTCTTTGAATCTTATTAAAAGCAAAGTATATTTCAGGAGATAACCTGATTTCAGTAGATGTTGATCTCTCTTGCACCTTCTCCATATCAGTCTATTGTGTGATTACTGATGATAAGTATGAGAATTGTGAGGCCCTTGGAAGCCTCAAAACCAAAGGGTAGCTTAATTGATTTTGTCTTACTAAGGCAGAAAAGAGAGTACAGTCATTTTAGCAACATTTCAGAAACTAAGTGTAGGGAGACAAAAGCAAGTTTGGAGTGACATGATCTCAGATAACAAAATATTATGTTCTCTATAATCTCTCATTCCGTAGCATTCTGGGTAATTGGGAGTTTGACACACACTTAATACCTTTGCAATGTATTTCAGCTATAGCCCAAGCTAACTTCTGGAATGCCAGCTGTTGGGTGGGGTAAAATAACCAAATCCCATAGGATGTCAAAGACAAAAATCTGTGAATTCACACTCAAAAATCTCTAGTTGAAGGAGAAATCATTTTGACAATTAAAAAAAGCAATCTTCTAGCCGGGCTCGGTGGCTCAGCCTGTAATCCCGCGCCTTTGGGAGGCTGAGGTGAGTGAATTGCCTGAGCCCACGGGTTCGAGATCCGCCTGGGCAGCGAGACCTCATCTCTACAATAAATAAAAAAATCAGCCGGGTGTGGTAGCGCATGCCTGTAATTCCGGCTACTTGGAAGGCTGAGGTGGAAGGATCGCCTGAGCCCAGCAGACCGAGGCTGCAGTGGTCGGGAGTGGCCACTGCACTCTAGTCTGGGTGACAGTGAGACTCCAACTCAAAAGAAAAAAAAGCAATATGCTTAACAGTGCCCCAGAGTGGAGCCAGAAGTGGCCAGAGGGACTACAAATGAAGCAGTAGCTACAGAGGTAACAAAAGAAGAAGAAAGGAGAAGCTTTTAATATAACAGTAGATTTAAAGGCAAATTATTCAAATCTTGAAAACTAAATGCTTATTCTTTGGACACAGGTGTTAGCAGTTGCTTCTATAAGCCCCTTGTCCTGGGTTGCTTGCCCCAGTAAAACCACACAGTTGCTGACAATGGCAACTAACTGGGAACAGAAACAATCTTATAGACTGGGGCCTCCTATTCCAAAAAGAAGGAAGAGATGGTAGTATCCTTAAGAGAATCTTTGACTTTACCATGAGATGGGCTAGTTCATGGCATCTCTTCTTGTGGGTCATTCCACAACTGTGTGTGTCTGGGGTGGGGTGGAGGTGTCCCAAAACTATCAAAGAACAGTTGTGCACTTTCCCCTATCCAGGAATTGGCTAGAACTTCAGGGAGACTCTGGGAAGTCATGTGCTGTGGTGCTTAAGAGTTGTTTGCCATTGGAGTCACCTAGGCATTGTTGAATATGTTCTAAAACCCCAGTCCCTTCCAGTACTAGGGACATGTGGCCTCTGAAATCACTGGATAAGGAAGGTCCAGCCCGAGACTGCCCAAGAATGCTGCCCAGCATACAGTGTCTTTTTTGAAGTACATGGAGAAGGGAGAACTACTTGGGGCTATGATGATCAGGGAAGGTTTCCCAGAATAGGCGGGGTTTGGGCTGAGCCTTGAGGGGCAGGCCTTCAAGCTGGAACAGTTACTGCACGACTTTGATGATGCCAGTCTGGACCCCAATGCCCAAAGTTCCCCCTCCTTGACAGCTAACCTCTGAGTAGCAACCAGCAGGCATAGCCAGTAGGCTCGCTGGCTAAGGCCAGAGAGTTTCTTTGACCTGAATGGTCCAGATAATGGTCTCAGATCCCTACATCACTGGATTCCAGAAAGAACCCTTAGCACATCACTTTCCTGAGTAGAGTTTCCATCTGTCAAGTACAGTTGTACAGTGAGAGATGCTTTTATTTTGAAAGACTGAAGGCCGTGGGCTTGTGACTGTGTAAGCCTAGACCCCGAGGGAAAAAAAAATGAACGCTGGGGAAATTGTGAGGTCCTTGTGGAGACTCAAGCCTATTTCCAGTGGCTAAAAGGCACTAATGAGTATAATGCAGGCAAGAGCCGTGGGTTCAAACAAACAACTAATTGGAATTAAGAGAAGAAGTGTGCAGAGGCCCCTAATGAATGGATATGCTAATTGGTCTTCTTTGCTAGCCCCTTGGGCTTTGGCTGTGACATAGACTAGCCTATTAGATGCCTGCTCTGTAATAGCTGCTGAATGCTGAGGCCCTTTATTGCCATGGTAACATTGATGTCTAGAGTCTAGCTGAGCCCTGGATCTCTTAATTTACTACTCAGGCGGCTACAATTCTTTGGGTTTTATTATTCTTCGTGCCCCAGGTGCCAGAGTGGCAGTGAATCATGCTTATTCATCCTCTGTGCCGCCCACGGTGTCTTTGAATAAGTCAGGGTGTCTCTTACTGTGTGTGATGAGCAGATTATTAAGTTAGAGCCTATTTCTGCCTTAGCTAGACTGGTGCCTCTCAGAAACCCAATGCACCTCTCCAACCACTTACTTACCTACTGCCTCAAATGGCTTGTGGCAAGCAGAGTGATGGCACTACAGTGGGCCTGCAGAGGCCCAGCCTCCCAGAAACCTTTGCTTGCTTGATGGTCAGGAAGAAGCAGCACATTATAGGAAGGCAGCACCAACTTGGAGAATGAATCTTGGAAATTCATGCGATCAAAATGGAGCAGTTGGAGGGGAGAAAAGTCATTGTAGAGAGGGTCCTGACTGAGAACTGTGGTGCTAGAAGTTTTAGTCCCTGTAGGTTAAAAAGTTTGGTCCTGTAGGAAAAAGGACATCCTTTGCTCTAAGTGACTCCAGAAGAAGAAAGTCACTTTCAAAAGCCAGAAGGTATGGAGGGGATGGATTTCACTTTGTTATAAGACCTCTGTGACAAAAGCTGGTCACCTGGACCAGCTGCCTCTGAAAGCTGGTAAACAACGTGTCACTGGAGCTGCCCAAACTTTGGTATTTCAATATAGAGATGCTCTAAGCATCCATTGCCAGGGCATAACAACTTTGCTAGACAACCGCTTAGGTCTCTTCCAGTTTTACAATCTTGTGTGTCTATATATGATGCTATTTAATTTATCAGGACATATGCTAAACTTGAACAATGCTCTATATGTACATGTGTTTACTTCAACAGCACATATGCTAAAATTGGGGTGATACTCTATATGTGTGTGTCCAGCCCTAAATGAAACTCTGCAACAGGTGCAGAGATGTTTTCCTGACACCTCTGTCACTAAGAGATGGACAACTTGAAATTAAAGATAAATTGTGCAATAAATCCCCAAGTTACAAATGACTCTCACAAACAGGAAAGAGTCTTGGTGTTGTTAGTTTTTGTGGTTTGTTTGTTTTGCTTTTTTCAGTTCACTGCAGCATTTCACTGGGCATTCTCATGGGAGAATTGGCAGACTACAGAGAAAACTGTGGGCGGCACACATTTAAAGCACATTTACAATGCTGTTTTTCTGTTTATTGGAAATGGTGGTGAGACATCTTCTTGAGCTAACTAGATTCTGAGAGGTAGAACAGGCTGAACAGAGAGTTATAAACCTAAAGACAGTCAATCAAGTTTGCCAAGTACAGAAATGGCTGTTAGGCAACATTGGTCTTTTCCGCCAAACTCTGTTTATTATCAAGCAGCAGCATTTCCCCACACAGAGGACAGTGATATTAATCCAACTCGAACCCACTCTGGATTCAGCAAGCACCAGTCAGAAATCACAGTGACTCTCAGCTGCCTCTTAAATCAAAGTCAAATTCATAAGCAAGAGCTTAAGGTCTCTCCATCAACAGCCCTGTTCAGTTACTCACTTGCTGTAAG